CGAACATCACTTGAAGACATCCAACAGTAGAAACAACTAAAATGTATATCACATGTAGCTAAAAGGGAAAATAATGATTTAATGAAGATGTTGACTTCCCACACTATTTTAAATAAGAGAGATAAAAAGGAAACTCCCATCAGTAATAGAAAGAGCTATAAGTATTAATGGACATGAAAAGCCTACTTTCCTTCAAAACTCTTTAAAGAGAAACATTATAAATTTCAACTGATAGTAATACTATCGGTTTGGTCAATGAATGCCTAATGTCCCTTGTATGGAAATAGTTAATCTCAGCATTACCATCATAAAATCTTAAGGGGGTCTGTACTCAACCTAGTAGTAGTCTATTATTAAGAAAATTCCAGACTATCTTGGGTTTTAATTGTTCTTTACTGATTTTGTCATACTAAGCACAGAAAATTAAATATGTTAGTTCTTAAATAAAATATATTAGTAAAATAATTATGAAAAGTAATTTTTTTAAAAATTAAAGCAAACGTAAAAAAAAACAAACCTAAGTAGCTCTAGTGATGCTGCTCCCAAGACTAGATATGAAAGGAGTGCACAGAGTATCCCCTCCCTCATAAAAAATAATAAATACTAATAATGCTCACACCCAATGAGTACAAAAACTATAATGAGAGGACAGGTCAATATCTGCATTGGAAGATCAGTCATGACTACAAGATAAAAACAGCTGCAAACCGATATGAACATCATCATGAATCTGTAGCTGATTGAGCAGATGTTACTCTCCTCTGGGATTTTCCTATCAACACAGATCAAACAATACATGCAAATTGTTTGAATATCTGCAAAATTTAAAAAGAAAAACTAAACAAATAAGAAGACCTGGCGATGGAAATAAAAAATGTGGCACTTAAAAACTAAAACTGCTTCTGTTATGGTTGGAGCTTTGGGGGACTCAACAACATCTCTGAAGCACACTGTCTCTCAAGGAAATAAAAAACATAATAGTTCAAACAAGTGCAGCACATATTCTGTGAAGAGATTTGTCCATTTAAGGTTTTAGTTAGTAGCTTTTTGTTTAAGTAAGTGGAAACAACAAAAAAAAATTATATCTTTCCACTTATCTTATGTCATTGGACTATAAAATTAATGCAAGTTAAAAAGATTTTTTGAAATAATAATAATATTGGTTCTGTCATCAATCTATGAAATCCTTGCACAAACTTTATTAATGCTTATCAGTAAACACAATGAAGTCCCAGAATGAATCACTGAAGGTATTATATATCTCCTGCTAAAAACAGGTGAAACAGACAATCCAAAAAATTATAGACCAATAACATGTCTGTCCAGATGAACTGTACTTACTCTTTTCTTGAAGAAAACAACGTTCTTCTCCTGGAACAGAAGGGCTTCAGGAGAGGTTCATATGGTTGCAAAGATCAACAATTCATAAACAAAATGATCCTAGAAACCGTAAAAAAGAGAGACAGAAATGTCAGCACAGTATGGATAGACTCTACTGTAAAACCTTTGATAGTGTACCTCACTCCTGGATCCTTAAGACTTTGTACAAAGTCTCTTTGGTGATAGTAAATTTCCTTAAACACAGCATGGTAATGTGAAAAACCACATTATACATAAATCACACCAAAGGCACTGCCACATCCAACTACTTGAATATCCAATGAGGAATCTTTCAAAGAGACTTCCTGTCACCCCTTCTGTTTTGGCAGTCTTTAATACCCCTTATGCATGAAATAAACAATAATAGCTATGGATACAAAGTAAACAAGAAATTATTCAATCATGGATTATCTCAAACTCTTTACTAAAGACAACAATGAATTGAAGGGTCTCAGCAATACTTTAAAATGTTTCAGTGACAACATGGGCATGAATTTCAGATTAGATAAAGTGAAAAAATTAACATTCAAGAAAGGGAGAATTACAGAAACACACTCAATAGATCTAGATTTTCTCACAAAGATTAAGGAACTGGAACAAGAAGGAGCCTATAGATACCTAGTAATTAGTCAAGGAGATGGAATACAGCAAAACCAAAAGAGGAAGAAAGTAAGAAAAGAATACTACAGGCGTGTACATCTGGTATTGAATACCAAACTGAATTCAATAAAACAGAATATCAGTCATAAAAACATTGTATAAAAGGGCAGCCAATTTCAACATCCTTAACTGAACCATAACTGATATTAAGTGAATGGATACCAAAATGAGAAAGCTTTTTGCTTGTCACTGCATGCACCATCCCAATCCCAAAGCTGATGTTGATTGTATGTGCTCAGATCCAAAGGAGGCAGAAGATTAGTTCAGCTAAAACTGTCTTACAAAACTAAAACAATCCTCCTTCAAAGGTATCTGGAAACTACAGAAGACTAGAAGATGATCTGTATCAGAGAACATGAAAGAAGAAATTTTACAGTAATAAAGGAAGCCAACAAGTTCAAAATGGAGTTTTAAGTTGGTGAAGAAATGCAAATAAAACATAATACACCTACTGAAGCTGAAGAAACCTTAAAAAAGGAAGCAAAGGTAAATGCAATAGACCAGATACAGAAATGATGGCAGGATAAACCTCTCTACAATCAATATTCTGCCCGTACCAAACAAGCTGATGTAGACAAACCCCATACCCATCAGTGGCTACATAGTACAGGGTTAAAAGCTGAAAAGAAAGGTCTTATTTCTGCTGTACATTGGCTTGCTAACTAAAAATTACCAAGATCACAAACTGATAAATTGTTTTTTAGCACAAAATGCAAAATGTGATAAATATCCAGAAACAATTGACCATTTTGTATCAGGTTGTACGGTATTGGCACCCACTGAATATAAAACCTTGCATGACAGAGTGGGCTAATGTATGTACTGGAAAATCTGCAACTTTTATGGAAAGGAAACTGCAAGAAATTGATATGAACTCCACCCAGACCTGGTTGTGGAAAAAGGTCCTGTAACAATTTTATGGGACTTTACAATACACACAGGCAGAACAATCAAAGCTAATCACCAGACATTGTGATCAGCAATCACAAAAACAAAATGTACCTTATTGATATGGCAGTCCCTGTGGACTGCAACGTATCTTTGAAGATCTTCAAAAACAAAACTATCAAAATACAAGGACCTTGAAATTGAAATATCAAAAATGTGGCACATGAAGGCATCAACATCTCCAGTTGTAGTTGGAGCTCTCAGATTGATTGGAAAAGATTCCAATAGACTCATTAAATGGATTCTTGGTAGCCCATGCCTTAAAGAAAAAACAAAAAGTTATACTTACAAATACAGCCCACTTCTCTTGAAGGGCATTATCTATGTAAAATATGTATGATCTTAGGTGCCCACCCCCCCACTCAAAAATGCTCAGTGGAAAATGCCATTTCTGACCTTAGGTCTCTGGTTGGGACTCCCCCTTTCCAGAAAGAACTAAGTATACACCAGAAATCAAAGAAAAGAAAATAATAATCATATCCTCATGTTACAGAAAAGCAGACAGGATATTAACAAGGCAATTCAGCTCTGAGAAGAGACAGATTTTTTTTGTTAAAAAGGATGCATGCATGATTATGGGAAACCCAATGTCAAAGAAAGCAAAGACAGAAAAACACATGGTGCTGAGACCTTGAAGCAGACACCAAGAAGTTATATTATCCATACAATCAGTTGGTGAAAAAAAAAAAAAAAAAAAAAAAAGTATAAGATTATCTGAAAATCTACTGTTGACAATCTCGACACCAAGAGGTGTAAAAAGCTTATAGGAGTGGAGACATTATTAAGTAGCACTATTAATATAAACATGTCCAGCATTATCAATTTTTTTTGGACAAATATTTATTCCTTCTTATCCTGTTGAATTTTATCTGCAACTCTCAGGTTTATTTTAAATTTATTCTAAAAACATTACGCTACAGACATGGCTCAGAAATTAAAAAAAGTTTTGTCAAGATTTAAACTTACAATAATAAACCATTACCAATTAGGCTACAAAAACTCAACCAGCAAACATCCTTCATATTAGCCATATAGTTATATTCTTTTGTCACCTAACTATGACTATATCCCATTATTTACACAAGTAGTATTAAATGTAATATTCCTAAATTGTCCATATTTTTAATATGAAGCATTTTAAGTTAAAACGAGGTGGAGGAAGAAGGGTAAAGTTAAAACGAGGTGGAGGAAGAAGGGTAAAGTTAAAACGAGGTGGAGGAAGAAGGGTAAAGTTAAAACGAGGTGGAGGAAGAAGGGTAAAGTTAAAACGAGGTGGAGGAAGAAGGGTAAAGTTAAAACGAGGTGGAGGAAGAAGGGTAAAGTTAAAACGAGGTGGAGGAAGAAGGGTAAAGTTAAAACGAGGTGGAGGAAGAAGGGTAAAAAGTTAAAACAGGTGGAGGAAGAAGGGGTTAAAACGAGGTGGAGGAAGAAGGGTAAAGTTAAAACGAGGTGGAGAAAGAAGGGTAAAGTTAAAACGAGGTGGAGGAAGAAGGGTAAAGTTAAAACGAGGTGGAGGAAGAAGGGTAAAAGTTAAAACGAGGTGGAGGAAGAAGGGTAAAAGTTAAAACGAGGTGGAGGAAGAAGGGTAAAAGTTAAAACGTTAAAGAAGGTTAAAAAACGAGGTGGAGGAAGAAGGGTAAAGTTAAAACGAGGTGGAGGAAGAAGGGTTTAAAACGAGGTGGAGGAAGAAGGTAAAAGTTAAAACGAGGTGGAGGAAGAAGGGTAAAGTTAAAACGAGGTGGAGGAAGAAGGGTAAAGTTAAAACGAGGTGGAGGAAGAAGGGTAAAGTTAAAACGAGGTGGAGGAAGAAGGGTAAAGTTAAAACGAGGTGGAGGAAGAAGGGTAAAGTTAAAACGAGGTGGAGGAAGAAGGGTAAAAAACGAGGTGGAGGAAGAAGGGTAAAGTTAAAACGAGGTGGAGGAAGAAGGGTAAAGTTAAAACGAGGTGGATGGAAAAACGAGGTGGAGGAAGAAGGATAAAAGTTAAAACGAGGTGGTGGAAGAAGGGTAAAGTTAAAACGAGGTGGAGGAAGAAGGGTAAAAAGTTAAAAGGAGGTGGAGGAAGAAGAAGTTAAAAGATAAAAGGAGGTGGAGGAAAGAAACGAGGTGGAGGAAAGATAAAAGGAGGTGGAGGAAGAAGAGTAAAGATAAAAAGGAGGTGGAGGAAGAAGAGTAAAGATAAAAGGAGGTGGAGGAAGAAGAGTAAAAGATAAAAGGAGGTGGAGGAAGAAGAGTAAAGTTAAAACGAGGTGGAGGAAGAAGAGTAAAGATAAAAGGAGGTGGAGGAAGAAGAGTAAAGATAAAAGGAGGTGGAGGAAGAAGAGTAAAGATAAAAGGAGGTGGAGGAAGAAGAGTAAAGATAAAAGGAGGTGGAGGAAGAAGAGTAAAGATAAAAGGAGGTGGAGGAAGAAGAGTAAAGATAAAAGGAGGAGGAAAACAAGATGAAGAAAGTGAAAGATAACAAAAAAAAAAAAAAAAAACAAGATGTGTTTTCAGATAAGAGATTGTGGCCCCACAATAATAATGACAAGGCTTCATCTCAGAAATTTAGATAAATTAAAACATCAATGAAAAGTCATCACATTAATAACTTCAACAAATGCCATTAAACAACATGAAATTACTTTAAAACTGATACTCAAGTCATTCATAGGATTTTATTAAATATAAACAAGTCTATTATGGTGAGGGATAATAATAGTGGCAACCAGGAAGCCATTTGATTTGATTCAACAAATTTAACAACTAAATTATATCTGATTTTTTTCATCAGTTCATTACTATTAGACAGAGTTCTTGAAACATCACTCACTCTGTATATTCTAATACAAAGATCACCAATACTGAGTTGGTTCCTGATGAGAGAAAAATCTGACAAAAACCTGCATTTGTAGCATCCCATGAATGTGTTAAAATGTGGACACCTGTCTGAAGTTATTATGCAAATCAAACAAAACTCAATATGTTCTGAACTAATATTTGTCAGATTTAAACTTGTCCACCTTTAATAAAATATTTAACTATATTTTCTGCCATTTTTAATGGTTAGTTTTTGAGATATTTGGAATTTACAAAAATGAACTGACTGAAGTTAGTATGCAGATTAAACTATTAACTTAAGACCTCTGAAATTTAATAAAAACTATTTTCTCTTTTGTCCATAATACATGTTAAAACATGGGTAAAGGAAAGAATATAAGAATTGCTGAAAAACAAAAAGTTATTGATTGAGGGAATGTCCACATTGGAGATATCAAAAGAAGCTTTGCAGAGATCATTGAACAATAAAGAAGGATGTTGAAAATGTAACTAAGTTGAAAACACAATGAAAAGAAAAAGGATTTAAGAACTTGTTTCCTTGAAATAAATGTAAACTAAAGCGAGTTCTAGCAAAACAACAACTTTTGACCAGCACTCAGATCTTTGAAAAGGTTGAAATTAAGGGAGTCAAAAAGGACAAAAGGTGTAGAATACTTTGTGAATTGGGATCAGTAAAAAAAAAAAAAAAAAGAAATCTTCTAGGCAACCTCCTTTTGCTAAAGCAAATATTTTAATGAATCAAAATTGGGCCAAGAAATATATGAAAATTGACTTTTCTAAAGTAATTTTCATGGATGAATCCCAAATGACATTTGAGATAGACCTGATGGATGGGTTTTATCCAATTCAAATATGCCTGTGGCTAAAAGAAAGCAACAAGTAGGTGGTAGTGTTATGACATGGGATGAAATTGTAAACCAAACCATTATTGGACCATTCAAAAATCAATGGAGTCAGACTGAACAGTGCTAACTATTGTAATTTTATGAACAAGACTTTATTGGCATGGTACATGTCCCAGTCTGAAAGTGTAGTGTGTATCTATGCACAACAATCCTCCTTCTCATGTATCTAAGCTTACCCATGAAATCTTTAAGCATAAAAGATTTACAGGAAAAAGATAATGGAATGACCACCATCAAATAATGATCTGAATCTGATCGAAAATCTATGGTCAATTGTAAAGATGAAAATTACATGAAGGTGACAAACAGTATAACAACAACGCAGACCAATGGAAAGAAATTAAAACTATCATGTTCGAAATTGAACCTGCTGAAGTAAAATAAATAATTAACAAAATCAATGACTAATAGATTACTGACTGTTATTGGGAAGAAGGGTCACTATATTAAAATGTAAAGGATTCAAAGACTTATGTGTGTTATTTGTTCTATTATTGATGTTGATCAATTTTTGATGATTTTATTACCTTTTTATTGGAATAAAATGTAATTATTTGGTTTTGCCTAATAACTTCAGATGGCAGTTTTTTAGGATACACCAAATAAATTCAATAAAACATTGATACTACCTAAAATTTTAACTCAGGCTTTGTTTTGACATCTAAATTGATTGTTTAAAATTTCAATTTTTTTTTTCAAACCAAATTTGAATTATTGAAGTTAATATGACTTGCTTAATAACTTCAGACAGGGTGTAAAGAGGAACCCAGTCATGTTTTTAAAGTCAAATTTGAGGAACAGAAGAACTAAAAAGGTGAGTTGAAAAAAAATCTGGTATGACAGACCGTATCTGGAGAGAGGAGGGATATACATTACCTTCACTAAGATAATAGCTGACTGCTCATTGCCAAATATATCCATCTGCTAGGTTGGCAAGTTCATCCCTGTTGCAGATGCCTTCTCAGACACATTTGTGTTTCTTCAACATCCACACAGCAAATGTGTGGTTTCATATTGCAATTATGCTAAATGGATCTTAGTTACAGTTTCTGGAAGAGAGTGTGCAGTTTGATGTGATCATTAGTTTGAACAATTAAGTATGCTCAAACTCTGCCACATAGTTTGTAAATTTAAGCTAGCACAACCATCAAAGGTTTCCAAATGGTTTTATCTACACAATTTCACTTACAGGGCTTGGATCAACTTGTGGTATGATTTTCAGACACTTTCCAAAAGTGCTGCATGTTGGATGCATCTACCCAGGCAGATATTATCAAGACAAATCAGTCATAGTGAGATTTGAACTTGAATCTCATGATCAGAACAGTATGTTCTTATCCCTCAGCCACACACTCATCCTTTCTATCAGAGAAAGTGAGTAAACCCAGGTAACAGAGAACATCAATGAAGAGTGAAGATGCTGAAGAATGTTGCATCCATTGGTTTATCAGTCAGGTGTGAGAGTCAGACTCCGATACTGTGGTTTAATTTGCTTTGAAAAGTGGGTAACATTTGGAATTACCTGGACACTTGGGTGTGCCTGTTGATATAAAAACAGACCAGTCTAGTGTATATGTGGAGGATCAATTTCTTGACCTGAAGTTTAGGTTAGGTTACCTTCTTCTCATAGGTTAAAGAATGAATCAACTAAGGATAGCCAAAGAACATATCAACTAAAACAATGTCATAAAAACAGCACAGATACAAGAAGGAGATTTGATTGTTAAAATAATGCTGGATATTTAGACAATATATTAAGGAATCAGTGTTGTATATTCAAAGTATGTCAACATTTTAAATTGCCAATTTTGAACGTTTCAGCCAAAGTCAAAAGGAAATTTAGGTTTATAGAGCCTTAATTTACATTATGTATTTGTTTTACCCCTTTCATATCTCAATGATAAAAGTTAACTTTCACACATTTGTAAGTCTACCATTAATCCATGTAATGAATATTTCTGCCTTAGCTTTTTAGATTGAAAGATTTTTTTGGAAATAATGATTTACTGAAACATTTCCTACTAGTTATCCCATAGCTGGAGGGGAGGAGGAGTGGATTTATCCCTTTCCTAAAGGTATTTTGCATAGGTGAATATAATGAACCCAACTAGAATTGGAACTCAACAGTCATTATCCATTACACCATTCATATATGCAAGCTTACAGCACTTGGTATTCCCAAGTGGTCACCTATCTAGGTACTAGCCAGACTCAACTTTGCTTAACTTCTGTGATCATACAAGAACCAGTGTTCTCCTCAATCTTGACAAATTAAAGGAATATAAGAAAACTGGGTAGAGCAAAAAAACATTCTGGTATGACAAAGGAGAGAAAGAATACAATACTCTTTTGGAGATGGGGTTCAAATAATTAACTAGGAACACTGTTGAAGAGTGAGAAAGTTGAAGGAAGCAACTGATGTCACTTTGTCAGACTACTATATTGACTTTACAAGACCCAGTGTATGTGAAGCTAAAAAACAAGACAATAAATTACATCCTTCAGCATAATACAACTTTTTTGTTTTTGAAAATTTGTACTATACTATCCATATTTTATTAAAATATTTAATTTTTCACAGAAAATAGAAATGAACCGGATATTTAGCTGTTGCATGTTTCTTTTAGTTTTCATTTCAAAACTTATTCTCAGGAAAAGGTGCAAATTAAACATACCTAGTAAAAAAATTTTAAGGTGTTAATCTATTATACTTTTCTGTTTGATTTGACTATTATATTTCCATATATTAATAAACTATGAAAATAAAAAAACAGTGTCTTTAAATAAGAATGAAGAGAGAAAAAAAAAAAAAATAAACAAATTTGATCTTGTGAGCAAACCTATTCTAATTTTAAACATTTTGAAAGTCAGAATCTCTCAAAAATCAGGTTTATTAGAATCAAATTCCCGCCATTCTTCTAGTGTGATTTTCACATCTGTATCCCAGGTTTGTGTTTCATTGTCATTCTGAAACTTCTCTATTGGTTCAATTACACTTATTCCCAAAGAACAAATATTGCCGATATATCAAATACTTTTTGTAAACAGTTATCAACACCTGCTTACTTTATGTTTTATTATCTATTCTGCTAAGTCTATCTTCAATTTTGCTGCTTCAAATAAGGTTTTTTAAAAGCAAAGTAAATGTTTCTGAAAGCATGTCCTTCTGTATAATACAATGCTCTCTTTTTTGCCTTTTAATTTCATTCAAGATTTCTTTCATTATGCACAAGAAAATACAGCAGTATGTGGTTTTCTTTGTTTAGCAAAGAAGGAGTTATGGAACTCCCCTCTGTATAATGTAGAATCCTCAGTAAACACAGGCAGCGGCATAATTTAGTCTATCAAACTAATGTTACTGAAATAGACCAATTCAGTTGGCAGATTATTAAATTCTTATTTTTTTTATTTTTTTTTTTTTTAAAAAAAATTCTTTTCTTATAGATTATACACCTGAGAGAGACTGAATAATAGATCAGCTGAAACAGGAAAACATCAAGTACACAATAAAGAAATTCAACTGTCCAAAGAAAATTTGGAATTTTTAAAATCCTATTCTTACTGTGCACTGAGAGATTTGAATTGTTGTCTCTCATTTAACAGACGAGTGACAAACTTACAAAGTGTTACACTGAAACTGTGTAAAGGATTGGCATTCAATTTAAAAAGGTGTTTGACATGCCTGAAAAATTATGTCAAATATTCAAGCTCAAATGGAAATAACTTTATCAGGCAAAGAAATTATTTCACTAAAGACAAAGTACTACAGCTGTGACAACCAAAAAGGTATTTATCTTCAGTATTTGAGCCAGC